ACGCGCTATAAGTACCTACAAATATCCCAAAAAACCCAAAAACAGTGTAAGGACCCTTTTTTGGCCAATTCTGGAATTTCGGCACAGGGGTAGTCCGCCTCGGGTTGGCTATTTTCAGTTGGTTTTGCATCAATTCATGTGAAAAAATACGTTAAGGGGCCTCGGTTGGCCGAAAAAAATAAAAAATTGAAACTTACCAGCGGTAAGACCCGGTGCGGCGGCTCCACTTGTTCACTTTTTGTGGTTGGGTGTTTTGTTTCGGTCAACCTGTAGAGAAGGAAACAGTGATCAAAACGATAAAAAAATTTCGTAGAATGGGAATCGAGAAGGGCCTCATCGGATGTGATTTTTAAAATTTCTTGCGGCAACGCCGCCCTGACTTTACCCTCAGTTTTCGGCCAATCTGCAGGTATTTTGGCTCCAATTTGGCTATGGAGGTGTTTAAAATAGAATTTCGAGCAAAGAGAGAAATTTTTACCTCTTTTGGAAGTCGAAAGTGGCTCCGGCGCGGCGGCGGGTGGCGGTGGCTCTCCTTCTCGGCGGCTGGGTCTTCTTCTCCGGCGAGGGTGTCTGGCGGCTAAGTTTAGGGTTTTGTGTGAAGAAGGTTTTTTATACCCGTCTCCTTTTAATCTGGACCGTCCATCGTATCTGATCTGAACCATCCGATCGTGATTAATAAAAAGTAGATCTGGACCATTGATCACGTTTCAATCTGATCGTTCGATTGCATCTAGGGAGTGCACGCATCTGGGCCGTCTGTGCGCGTGGGAGCGGATTTGGGCTGCCTGTGCGCGCAGGAGTAGATCTGGGCTGGTCGATCGTGGGCACGCGGATCGCCTACGTGGCACCGTGTTAGCTTTTGTTGCCACGCGGCATGTTCTGGTTTGTTGGAGCTGTTGACCGAGCATCCTATGTGGCACAACTTTCCTAAATTATATTTTGGCCCCCCAATTCTCGATTTTTCTTTCAAAAATATTCCCAGAACCCAAATTTTCACCTATTTTTCTCAAAATTGTTTTCAATTTTATTCTCCTTCAATTTTTCTTCATTTTTACACTAAATTAAATTTAAGAAAATTAAAAAATTATATTACAAATT